TCTACAAATATGGAGCCCAGAGTGTCCAGATCCGCCCAGGCGTCGGCAGGATGGGCAGTTCACAGACAAGCCGGCCAGGCCATGGGCAGCTACTGGACAAGGCACACCTCGCCGCCATGCAGGCTATACGGAGGGGCCCGGGTGGCCTCCTAGGGAGGGGAAGGATCAGCTTCCCAGAGGGGTCTCAGCCAAGGGTCTTGGGGCAGGGAAGCGTTAGACAAGGAAGAGGGAAAGGAGTTCCAGGCAGATGGACCAGCTAGTACAAAGGCCTGGGGGCAGACAGCAGCAGGGTCCCGCTGGGGTGCAGGGTGTCCCCCTACCTCCTCCTGCAGGCTGCGGCAGCGTGAGGCGGCCAGCTCCTTCTCCTGCAGGGCGCTGCTGTAGTGCAGTGAGAGGCTGAGCATCTCGTCCTTCAGCCTCAGCACCTCGTGGAAGTGGGTGCTAACCTCACGCTTCATGCGGCTGTGGTCAGCCTCCAGCTGGTGCAGGCCCTCGGCACGGGTCTCGGCCAGGCCCAGGCGCTCCTGCAGCTGCTGGCACCGCCGCAGCAGCACCTCCTTCTGCCCCTTCTCCTGGTTCAGCTCTTCTTGCAGGCTGCCGATGGCCCCAGCCAGGCACTCGGTCAGCTTGGATGTCTCCATGAGACCTGTGGGAAGATGGGCAGGTGGGCAAGTGAGCAGGTGGGAAGCTGAGCATGTGGGCAGATGGGCATGTGACAGGTGTGCAGGTGGGCCGGTGGGCCAACGCATTGCTCCCATGCCCCCACAGCCTTGCCCAAACTCCCCAGCAGGCCCCCAGCTTTAACCTGCTGGTCTCCTTAAAAGCTCCTGGGCCTCAAGCAGACTCGGTGCTTTGGCTGAATAAACAGCGTGACTCCCGATTTTGGCATGAGGGTTACCCACGCTGACCTTCCCCATGAGACCCCACTGTTGAGACTTAATGACCCTCCTTGGTAGCTGAGATGCGCTCAGTGCTAACTCATTTTAATGTTATCCCGAGAAAAAGATAAAACAAGAATACGAATCCATGTACTAGAACTCTAAAGAACATAAACACACACTGTGCGGGAATACGGGGAAAATGGTCTGTTCTCCACCGTTTTGGGTCATGTGAGTCTTGCTCCTTTCAATACATAAATCTTTCAACAGTTCCTCCAGGGAAGCCTAGAATTACTCCCTGAAGGAAAATGGGGAGCAGTGCACGGAAGGCTCTGCGGCCATGTACCCTCTGTCACCTCCTAGGAGCTGGGCCTGGGCTGTTCTGGCCCCTCCAGCAAAGCTGCAAGGTTAAAGGTGGACTCCAGGAGACACTCCCTTGCCCTTTGCTTGTGTCTCTCCAAGCAGATCTCCCTACCCCATCCCTCAGGGGTCTCCTCTTGGCGCTGGGTAATTAAGGACCAACCCTTTAGAGTCAAGGCGCAGGGGCTCCTTATCCTACCCACCCCCAATACAGGGAGGGGGTTTCTCACCCTCAGAGTGCTGAGGCTGGGACAGGGACTGCAGCCTGGAGGGAAGGGGGAGAAGGGTGAATCGGCAGGTAAGTGGGGCACCTAGGGTTACCAGGAGCCTGAGGTTCCTAGGCAGTGCCTGCGATCAGAGTCGGAGCTCTCACCGCTAAAGTTGCTGAAGTCAACATCAGGCTGCAGCCCAGTGACCAGGGTATAGACGTCAGGGTTGTGGAACTTCAGGCTCTCCAGGAAGGCGATGGCCCCGTTCTTCCCTCGAGTCTTCAGCAAATCCAGCAAGTGCCCTTGGGAGGCAGAACCGTCTGTTAGCTACCAAGGGGGCTGGGCTCCCTGGCTGGCTTCCCCACGGGGCTGGGGAAACCCTCCACACATCTAAGAATTGGGAGGTAAAAGCGGTTTTCCGGGATCTGCTGGGTGGGATGCGCCCTCACTACTCTCACAGGCTCCCTTTACCCACATGACCTCAGTCAGACTTGAGAAGGGTAAAACTGGCATTTATTGAGCAAAAACTGCAACCCTAGTGCTCTGGCAAGCATGGGGGGACGGGGACGGGGTGAGGAGGTCGGTCCCTGCTTGCAAGCACCTCCCTGGCAAGCCGGTGGGTGGTGCAGACGCAGGGTCCCACCACAGTGCCATCAGCTTTGGAGCCATGCACAGAAAGAAGCAGAGTGGCACCCCAGGGCTGCAGGGGACAGGTCCCAGGGAGCCTCGGGGCCTTCCACACCCAGGGCCCAGAGCCCATCTCTCTCAGCCAGAATGACTAGCGTGGATTAATCTCTCCTGTGTTTGGGGTTCATTCGCCAACATGCTGAATATTACCATGTTGACAGCTACCACCTACTGCCTGTTTTCTATAGCCTCAGCTTTGCAGTATTTTATAAACTAACTCACTTGCTTCTCCTAACAACTTTATATGGTAAAGCCATTAGCATTCTCATTTTTTAATGAATAAACACAGCTAGTGGGACCATCAGAATGGACTCCAAAGACATCGGTAGTGGTGTGAATGGTGGTTCCCCTTCAAAGACATGTTCATCTGGAACCTGTCCAGGTGACCTTTTGTGGAAAAAGGGCCTTTGCAGATATAAGTTAATGATTTCAAGATCAGATCATCCTGGTTATCCAGGTGGGCCCTAAATGCAAGAGCAAGTGTTTTTATAAGAGACACGATGAGAAGAGAACCCCTGAAGATAGAGGTAGACAGTGGAGCCATGTGGACCGAAAGCCAAGGAACACCTGGGGCCGCAGGAAGTTGGAAGAGGTGGGGAAGAGGGAGCTGCTCTCACCGGCCCTCATGGCGCTGTTGGTGAGCCGGGGGCTGTGCAGCACCTCCTCCTCGTCCAGCTGGCACAGCACCTTGGCCTGGCGCAGGTAGGGAGTGAGGCGGCTGGGGCAGATGCAGCGCACGATCCTGTGGCGGTGGCTCTCCATCATGTCCCACAGCGTCTCCTCGTCCAGTGCTGTGAGCGCAGAGTCCTTGCGGCACAGTTCCCCCATGGCTGGGCGCTGGAAGGACCCTAGGAGGGGCGGCCATGGGGGTGGAGCTGTCAGGGAAGCAGGAGCCCAGGACAGCCAGGGTGACACCATTTTAAAATTAACTCCATCGTAAAATTTGCAAGGTGCACTCTTTGCCAGTCAGAACCCACGGTCCTGGGATGTTTACAGCAGAGGAAGCAGCATGGTAACGCCTGCAAGGACAAACTCCCATGACGACAAAATGTCCGGACGCCCATCACAGGATAAGATCTGCTTTGAAGATGATTATACTCATCACCATGGTGTTGGAACGACCTTGACGGTCTTTGCCATGCTGGTTTCTCTCTCTGCGTAAGACTGAGTGCTATGGCCCCACCTGCTCTACCCCAATCCTAAGCAATAACGTCGCTAATTCACACTTTGTTGTGTCAGTTACAGCTTTTTCTAAAAAATGAAAGTAAATAAATACTTATTTTTTTTTGGCCGGGTGAGGTGGCTCACGCCTGGCCGAGGTGGGCAGATCATGAGGTCAGGAGATCGAGACCATCCTGGCTAACATGGTGAAACCCCGTCTGTACTAAAAATACCAAAAAAAATTAGCCGGGTGTGGTGGTGGGAGCCTGTTGTCCCAGCTACTGGGGAGGCTGAGGCAGGAGAATGGCGTGAACCCGGGAGGCAGAGCGTGCAATGAGCCGAGATCACGCCACTGCATTCCAGGCTGGGTGACACAGCGATACTCTGTCTCAAAAAAAAAAAGAAAGAAATTCATCCAAAATAATGGTAGTAGGCTAGGCATATTGGCTCGTGCCTATAATCCCAGCACTTTGAGAGGCCAAGGCGGAAGGATTGCTCAAACCTAGGAGTTCGAGACCAGCCTGGCCAACATGGTGAAACCCTGTCTCTACTAAAAATACAAAAATTAGCCAGGTATGGTGGTATGCACCTGCAATCCCAGCTACTCAGGAGGCTGAGGCAGGAGGATCATTTGAGCCTGGGAGGCAGAGGTTGTGGTGAGCTGAAATTGTGCCACTGCACTCCAGCCTGGGTGACACAGGGAGACCCTGTCTCAGTAAACACACACACACACAAACAAACAAATAACAGTAGGGGTGCTACACTTTGGAAATGCTGCTTTATATATTCTTCACGAAAGGTAATTTTCATTAGAAGCAAGACTGTCGGCTTCTCTAGAGCCGAGATCGTGCCACTGCACTCCAGCCTGGGTGATACAGCGAGACTCTGTCTAAAAAAACAACAAAAAAGTTCCTATTGTTTTCAGCTACCTAGCAGGTGGTCCCTTGTTTGCAGAGGCCCAGGACACTGATATAGAGGACTGCACAGAGGACTCCATGCAAGGGAATGTGCTGGGAAATGACACTGGGCACAAGTGCCTTGGGGAAGATGCTTCAGGGTTGCAACGGCCAGCACGGCTCGGCTGTGGAGAGTGTGGGCTTACAAAGGTGGCCAGGCAGACAGAGGGTGGACAGGTCCCCGAAAGGGCTGAGCTGCAGCTGGTCTGGGGCTACCACCAGGGCTGATGTCCCAAGCCCAGGTCTGTCTGGACAGAGTACATGAAGCATGTTGCCGTTACAGCCTGGAACGCCTGCTCTTCAGGGGACATGCTGGCTAGTGCAGACTCTAAGAGCTGTTGGAGGTCCTCAGCAGTCACCTGCCCAGCCTCCTGTCCTAGCAAGAGGCCCAGGCACCCTAGCTTTGGAGATGAGCTGTGTTCCCTGCTGTGCCCCTGTCTGAGCCCCTATGTGGCATCAACATAAGGCCATTAGCTTATGAATCCATCTAAATACTTTTAAAATGTTTTAAAACTGTGCACTGTTTCCAGCATATTAAAAAAATCCTCCAAATAACAAATATCCTGCAAATAACAAATATCTGCGTACCCACTGTGTGGATTCAACCTCTTGACATTCTGCACTTCAAGTTTCTTTTTAAGGAAACGAGAGACAGATGGCGCCTTTTGTTCTCTTCAGTCCTTCTTCCCTCCCTCTCTGGCCAGACATTCTAAAAATCATTTAAAAATGGTTTTTTTTTTTTTGAGGTAGGGTCTTGCTCTGTTGCCCAGGCTGGAATGCAGTGAGGTGATCGTGGCTCACTACAGCCTTGAGCTCCCAGACCCAAGCAATCCTTCCACCTCAGTCTCTCAAGTACCTGAAGCCACAGGCATGCGCCACCATGCCTGGCTTATTTTTTAATTTTTGTAGAGATGGAATCTCCCTATGTTGCCCAGGCTGGTCTCGAACTCCTAGGCTCAAGTGATCTGTCTACCTCAGCCTCTGAAAGTACTGGGATTACAGCCCAGCCTAAAAATGATATTTTAAAAATCATTTCCTATAAGTGGAAGTGTGTATAAACAGTATATAGTATCTTTGCATGATACTTCAAGCAGACAGCAGGTTTACATCAACAGCACCTTCAGTGTTAGCTGGAACTTCACAGAAACTATCGTTCTGTGCAAGGCTGTACAGCTTCTGAGGTTTCTCATACTGATACATGCAGCTTGATACATGCACGATCCCTCAGACTGTGCACCGGATTCAATGACATGAATAACCACGTGGACTTATCATGCTCCTGTGTGAGGATATCAGGTTGTGCCTAATTTTTCTCCACTGCCCACAGAGCTGCAGCCACCGCCTTTGTTAATCTCTTGGGCACAGGTGGGAGCGATTCCTCACAGACCCATGAATTCCCGTGACTTGATTCTTTTCATTTGGAATGAGAGGCTGGACCATGGGAGACAGATGCCTCTTGAAGGGGTCTGTATGCTAAAAATACTTGAGAATCAGAGCAAATCAACACCTGCCATCTAAAAAATGGAAAATGGGCCAGCTGCAGTGGCTCATGCCTGTAATCCCAGCACTTTGGGAGGCCAAGGCAGGAGGATCACCTGAGGTCAGGAGTTCGAGACCAGCCTGACCAATATGGCGGAACCCCATCGCTACTAAAAATACAAAAATTAGCCACGCATGGTGGCGAGTGCCTGTAGTCCCAGCTACTTGAGAAGCTGAGGCAGGAGAATCGCTTGAACCTGGGAGGCAGAGGTTGCAGTAAGCCGAGATTGCGTCATTGCACTCCAGCCTGGGTGACAGTGCGAGACTCCGTCTCAAAAATTTAAAAAAATATATATTTAAAAATTTAAATAAAACATGGAAAATGATAGTTGGAGAGTCGTGTGTGCAGGAGCAGCGCCACAAGCCCTCCGAGGAGCCGGGTCTCCGGAAGTACTCACCAGGGGTCTCAGGGTCGTTTTTGCAGGAGCTCCGTGCAGCAGGGTGAGGTCCTCAGTCCCCGCAACCTCTCCAAAGCCCAGTGTGGTGCCAGCTGCCTCCTCTCTGCAGGCTGCTGGGCAGGATGGAGCTGGGCAGAAGGAAGAGCCTGAAGCCAAAGCAGCACCAGGTGAAATGACGGTGATTTCAAGCCATGTGACCTGTTCCAGAACTCAAAGTTCGGTCACAACAACCGCAAGCGGCGGGGAAAAGACGTTAAACTGGGATCCGGGAAATAACTCGACAGACCTTTGACCCCTGTGGTTTTCCCAGTAACTACTGAAGCTTCCTTAGCACTTGGAAGCAGACTTCTAGAATGTACCTGGGCTTTGAACCCTAGACTACCAAGGAGAGTTGATAGGCGCACCAGTTATCCAAAGCGTCCACAGGCCTGTCTGGGGCTCCCCACAGGGCCAGGCCACTCATATCCTTCTGTTGAGTCTCCTTGCCCGGAAGGAAGAACAGCTGGAGAGGACAGCGAGGGGCCCAGAGGCCGGGGCCGGCAGGTGAGGAGGAGAGGAGAACCAGCCTAGGGCAGCTCTGCCTCACTCCTTCTGATCTCAGTCCTATTTCTCACTGGAACAGGTGATTGAGGTTTGTGAGTCACTGATTGTGGCACCCCAAAAAGAATGCTGAGTCTTGGCCCCCAGTACCTGTAAATAGGACCTCATTTGGGAATAGGTACCTGCCAACATAATCAAGTTGAGGTCATTAGGGTGGGCCCTTGTCCAGGGATGCGTGCCCTTATAACAAGAGGAGAAGGGCTGGGTGCAGTGGCTCATGCCCATAATCCCACACTTTGAAAGGCCAAGGCGGGCAGATTGGTTGAGCTCTGGAGTTTGAGACCAGCCCAGGCTACACAGTAAGACCTTGTCTCTGCTAAAAATTTTGTTCTTTCTTTTTTTTTTTTTTTTGAGACAGAGTCTTGCTCTTGTCGCCCAGGCTGGAGTGCAATGGCACAATCTCGGCTCACTGCAACCTCTGCCTCCCGTGTTCAAGCAATTCTCCTGCCTCAACCTCCTGAGTAGCTGGGATTATAAGTGCGTGCCACCACGCCCAGCTACTTTTTGTATTTTTAGTAGAGACGGGGTTTCACCATGTTGGCCAGGCTGGTCTCGATCTCCTGACCTCAAGTGATCCGCCTGCCTCGGCCTCCCAAAGTGCTGGGATTACAGGTGTGAACCACCATACCCGGCCTAAAAAAATTTTTTTTTAATTAGCCAGGTGTGGTGGTGCACACCTGTAGTCGTAGCTACTGGGGAGGCTGAGGTGGGAGGATTGCCTGAGCCTGGGAGGTATAGGTTGCAGAGCTGAGATAGTGCCACTCCACTCCAGCCTGGACGACAGAGCAAGACTCTGTCTTAAAAAAAAAAAAAAAGAAGAAGAAGAAGAGGAGAAGGGCCCTAGACCTAGACGCCCCATGACCACCCCATGTTGGCTGAGGCCGAGACTGGAGTAACACGCCGAGGGTCGGTGGTAACACTAGAAACTCAAGAGAAGGCATGAGGTAGACCCTCCCTGGAGCCTTCATGGGGGGTGCGGCCCTGCTGACCCCTGGAGTGTGGACTTCTGGCCTCCAGAACCACGAGCAAATACTTTTCTGTTATTTTAAGCCACCCAGTTTACGGTAATTTATGATGGCAGCCAGAGGAAGCGTGCACGGCGGCAAAGGGGATGTGGAAATTGTCCGTCCATCTCCAGCGATGCGCTGCCAATGGGCATGTTCCCATGGAAGGCTCCTGAGTTCCCGGCCTCCACCCAGTAGAAGCTTGTGTTGCTGGAGTCTGACTCCAAGTCAGAATGATCCTCTGTCCCACTTCAGGACCAGCTATATAATCTGCGGAGCTCAGTGCAAAATGAAAGTACGGTGCGCTTGTTTTAAAAACGTATTCAGGCCAGGCGCGGTGGCTCAAGCCTGTAATCCCAGCACTTTGGGAGGCCGAGATGGGCGGATCACGAGGTCAGGAGATCGAGACCATCCTGGTGAACACGGTGAAACTCCGTCTCTACTAAAAATACAAAAAACTAGCCGGGCAAGGTGGTGGGCGCCTGTAGTCCCAGCTACTCGGGAGGCTGAGGCAGGAGAATGGTGTAAACCCGGGAGGCGGAGCTTGCAGTGAGCTGAGATCCGGCCACTACACTCCAGCCTGGGCGACAGAGCGAGACACCGTCTCAAAAAAAAAAAAATTCAGAATTTCAAGGCAGCAATAGCAGAGCAATAAAGTCAGCCCAGGGCCCCCGACTCCAGCCCTGCCTCGCATAACTGAGGGGTCTTCAGGCCCACTGTCTATCAGGGCGGTAGCTAAAGGTAGGGGATGGTTTCCTTCACAGAAGATGGAATGTCCTAAAGTTAACTGTGGTGTTGTTTGCACTTATCTGTGAATACACTAAAAGCATCGTAAACGGATGAATTGTGTGCCATGTGGGTTATAGCTCTTCCTTTTTTTTTTTTTTTTTTTTTTTGTGAGACAAGGTCTTGCTCTGTTGCTCAGGCTGGAGTGCAATGGTGTAATCTCTGCTCACCTCAATGTCCATCTCTCGGGCTTAAGTGATCCTCTACCTTAGCCTCCTGAGTATCTGGGATTACAGATATGTGCCACCATGCCAGGCTCATTGTTTTTTTTTTTTTTTTTGGAGAGATGGGGGTCTCACTATGTTGCCTGGGCTGGTCTCAGACTCCTAGGTCCAAGCAATCCTCCCACCTCAGCCTCCGAAAGTGCTAGGATTATAGGTGTGAGCCACTGCGCCTGGCCGTGAGTTATATCTCAACAGTTGTTTAAAAAAAAAAAAAGATCCAGGCATGGTGCAGTGGCTCACGCCCGTAATTTGGAAGGCAGAGGTAGAAGGATCGCTTGAGCCCAGGAATTCGAGACAAGTCTAGGCAACATAGGACGTTCCTGTCTCTAAAAACAAACAAACAAACAAACAAACAAAAGATTCGAGAGTACCTGGCGATCCCACCCTGCCTCCCGCTTCCCTCTCTGACCCCACTCCCTTCCAGGAAGCCGGAGGAGGGTGGGCTGAGGAGGTCCCTGCAGTGACCGGTTCTGCCCCTGCCACCCCACGGCCAGGGCTGGGGGGTCCACAGTGCATGGGACACCGGCACCCTCTTTCCTTTCTCTTCGTTTTCAGCCTAGGCTGGGCCCCCATCCCAGCCAGGGCCTGCCTGTTCAGCGCCCCCACCACAAGCGGGGTTCCTCTCTTGCCAGCTCCTGTTCTCTGCCAGGAGGTGTCTGTCAGGAGCGTGTGCTCCGGGCGTTCCCCTGTCGGCCTCCTCCCTTCCATCCCCTTGGCTTCCTCATTCCAGGATCCCTGTTCACCTCAGCTGACCCCGTGACCCCCTAGGAATGTTTCTGGCTCCTGCAGAGGCGTCTGGGGTTCCCCTCACTTAGATGGCAACCATGTGGGCGCAGTCATTCCGTCATGTCAAGCCCAAAGTCTCCAGGTCAAACCCAACACAGGACCAGGGCAGCCTCCTGTACCTCCCTCCCCAGCTCCTGGCGAAATGAACCAAATGTTGCTCTTTAAAAAGTTAAAAAAATAAATGAGTGAATAAAGCAGCAACCACGAAATGAGGAAAGAAAAACAACTTTTCTGCCACAAACTGAAAAATAGCAGAGGCCGGGCACGGTGGCTCACGCCTGCAATCCCAGCACTTCGGGAGGCTGAGGCAGGCAGATTGCTTGAGCCCAGGAGCTCGAGACCAGCCTGGGCGACATGGCGAAACCCTGTCTCTACAAAAAATACAAAAATTAGCCGGACATGGTAGCACGAGCCCGTGATCCCCAAACTACTTGGGAGGCTGAGGTGGAAGGATCACTTGAGCTCAGGAGGCAGAGGTTGCAGTGAAATGAGATTGCATCACTGCACTCCAGCCTGGATGACAGAGTGAGACCCTGTCTTAAAAAAAAAAAGGTAAAAAAAAAAGAGGCCGGGCGTGGTGGCTCACGCCTGTATCCCAGCACTTTGGGAGGCCGAGGCGGGCAGATCACGAGGTCAGGAGATCGAGACCATCCTGGCAAACACGGTGAAACCCCGTCTCTACTAAAAATACAAAAAAAAAAAAAAATTAGCCGGGCGTGGTGGCGGGCGCCTGTAGTCCCAGCTTCTCGGGAGGCTGAGGCAGGAGAATGGCGTGAACCCGGGAGGCGGCAGAGCTTGCAGTGAGTGGAGATCACGCCACTGCACTCCAGCCTGGGCGACAGAGCGAGACTCTGTCTCAAAAAAAAAAAAAAAGAAAAATGGCAGACAAGCCCTGAAACCAAAGGAGTGGTGCCAAGGGGCACTGGGGGCACAGGTGCCAGTGCAACCCTTAGGGACAGACTGCGGGAAGAGGGGGCCTAAGCATCCCTCTACTGTTTGGGCAGCTGAAGAGAAGTCTAGGGAAGTCAGAGAAAATGCCCAGAGCTGCCTCCAGCTTCCCTGGGAGTCCTCAGCAGGGGTGGGGAGGAGGCTGTACTGAGCCAGGAGAGAGCCCAGGCCTGGCTGCCCTTCTCAGTGTGGGGCAACCACCGGATTTCTTTAATCACACATCCAGTACCAAACTACGGTGGGAATAGCGTCTTCCAGCCAAATAAGAAGATTCTTTACCCTAAGAAATAATGCACGCAGTAGAAATCAGGGTGGCGGTAGGGGAAGGAAGTTGTCACTTTATCTTCCATGACCCTGTGCTATCTAAAATAAAGTAAGGCCAGGCGACGTGGCTCATGGCTGTAATCCCAGCACTTTGGGAGGCAGAGGTAGGCGGGTTGCCTGAGGTCAGGAGTTCAAGACCAGCCTGGCCAACATGGCAAAATCCCGTCTCTACTAAAAATACAAATATTAGCTGGGTGTGGTGGCGCACGCCTGTAATCCTAACTACTCGGGAGGCTGAGGCAGGAGAATCGCTTGAACAAGGGAGGCAGAGGTTGCGGTGAACCGAGATCGCGCCACTGCACTCCAGCCTGGGAGACAGAGCGAGACTCCATTGCAAATTAATTAATGAATTACATTCAACAAAATGCTGATTTTATTTTATTTTCCGTTTTGTGGAGAATGGGGTCTTGCTATGTTGGCCAGGCTCTCAAACTCCTGGGCTCAAGCAGTCCTCTCACCTCTGCCTCCCTGAGTGC